ACGTTTTTAGACCAAATATTACAGATTTGAACAAATACGCACAAAAACATCAAAATTAGCACAGAAACAGTACTATATAACATTTTAGACATATTCTAGACAGTTTATCAGCTAAAAAAAGTTAATTTTGAGGTAAGTTACTCTTTAAGTCAGCATCAACCATAAACTAAATAATATTTCTGTATTTATTTCAGATTTAGTCAGTTATACACTTAGTTCTCATCAGTGTTTAAAAGAGGACGTGTTAAAACACTGTTTAGTCAAAGTTAAACATGAAATGTCAAAGTTTATCACAAGTGGCCCTTCGAGGACCACCATAACACTCATGTGGGCCTCGGTGAAAATGAGTTTGACACTCCTGTACTATGGGATTATGTATCCTAAGTTTTCTTTTGTGACCTGTCTACAGACAGGAAGAAGATGGATGGATGGATGGATGGATGGATGGATGGATGGATGGATGGATGGATGGATGGATGGATGGATGGATGGCTGGATGGGTTGTTCACCTTATGGGCAGCAGATGGAGCAGTTTAATCAGAACTGAACTGGACATTTCTGTATTTTAACATTAAATTTTATCCAGACCTTGTTGAGTCATTTAGTATTGCACATATATTTGACATGTTTTATGAAAGGAGAAACAGATACGGTATATATCTTTCTTTATGATTACACCAAAGACATTTTAAAGAATGACTTTTGTATAATAGTTCTTCTGTTTGCATGAACAGGACATTCAGCAGAGGCGTGGTCTGGTGAACTCCATCAACTCCTGCCTCATCAAACCAGTCCAGAGGATCACAAAGTACCAACTACTGCTGAAGGTAGGTGCAGAACCAACAACAGCCTGAATACAATCACCACTAACTTTACAATTCTGTTCATACAGACAAAAGAGAGCAACAGAACTATTTACATATGAACCCGTTTTGCTTCTGCAGGAGTTGCTGTCTTGTTGCGAGGAGGGTAAAGGGGAGATCAAAGATGGTTTGGAGGTAATGCTCAGTGTTCCTAAGAGAGCGAACGATGCCATGCACCTGGCCATGCTGGAGGGTAAGGTCAGGCCCATGTTGCTGCTGACGTCTCGTGTTGGTTGGACCTGAACTCTCAGTCCTTGTCTCTACCTCAGGCTTTGAGGAGAACCTGGAGGTGCAGGGAGAGCTGATTCTGCAGGACAGTTTCCAGGTGTGGGACCCACGCTCGCTCATCCGGAAGGGGCGGGACCGCCACCTCTTCCTGTTTGAGTTCTCGTTGGTGTTCAGTAAGGAAATCAAAGATTCAGCTGGAAGAACCAAGTATCAATACAAGAACAAGCTACTGGTGAGAGACTTGTGTTGTCATGTGTGAACAGCATGGAACTGGTTTTAATGTGACGCTCTGTTTCTCCTGCAGACATCAGAGTTGGGGGTGACCGAGCACATTGAGGGCGACCCATACAAATTTGCTCTTTGGTCGGGAAGAACGCCCTCCTCTGATAATAAAACAGTGTTAAAAGTAAGGGAAACAAAAATGATAGCCAATAAATAAACGTATCAACCGTCGTGTAACATGAGAACCGTGCCTCCTTCAGGCCTCCAGTATGGAAGCCAAACAGGAGTGGATCAAGAACATCAGGGAGGTGATCCAGGAGAGGATGACTCAGCTGAAGGGGGTGCTGAAGGAGCCTCTTCCTCTGCCAAAAACACCAGCACTGACCAAACCCAAGAATCACACAAAGAGGTAAAGCAGCATCATAAACTGTATCTATAACCAGAGTGGCACATAAGTGGTGCGCAGGTGCACATGCGTGGTCGAAAAAGAAAAAGCGCACCAGATGGAACGTCATAAAGCTCCCTTGCGTACCTAAGATTGTACCTGACTGTCTGTCARAACAACAGCTAGCAGGGCTCTATCTAGAGAGCGACCAGTTTGGTCGCAAACGCGACCTGATTTCTTAAAAATATTTAAATAAAAAAGAATCCAGCGGCACTGGTGTGACTGGATCATTTTTCGGTGCGCCACAGTGGGACCCTGACATAAGGATTAAACGGACACTGCCTTCAACAAATCAGACGAAGTCCAGAGCTGTTTT